CATGAGCACCATTGATAATGGCGACGTGCCGCCATCGCTGCGCAACGCAGCACTCGCGTATCTAGATGAGGAGTACTACCTGTCAGGGCTGCACACCCGGTATGCGCACACGCATGGCCGACCGCACATGCAGCGAAGAGCAGCCTGCAGGAAGACAGAGAGCGTGTGAAATGCGTCGCCTCATCTGGCCCTTTGTTTCTGCGATGGCGCATGTCTTTCTGTGTGCAGGGGAGTTCATTTTGTCATTCATGTGTCTCTCTGGTGTGTCTATGCAGGTCGATCGTCGCTACCTACATTTTATGTTTTCGTGGATCTTTTCCGCAGTTGCTCGCCGTGTCACGTCATGCCAAGCTCCCTTGACAGCATCGAATCGACGCCTTGCTGGATAGGATGCCCTCAAGATAGGAGCAACGCGCCGTTCCCTCACATGAGTGAATGCAGGAGAAGCTTGAGACATGTGAGCACTGCACGTCATGTTGACATGTTTGTTGTCTGTCTGTCTATCTGCTTGATGCGTTCGATTCACGCGGCAACACGATCCAATTCTGCCTTAAGGGCCTCAAGGTCTGTGCCTGCGAAATCAACTCCGACCCACGTCGACGACGCACAAGAGAACTTCAAGCTATACGGTTGGTGCCTCCGCCTGCCTGTGCATGGCTGAGTGGACCCATGAGCGGCCTGCCACAATGCTCCCTCTCTCTCTCTCTCTCTCCCTGTGTGTGGGTGGGTGGGTGGGTGGGTGTCAGGCGTCACCCCTGCCCGCATCTGCAAGGAGAGCTTCTATAGCTTCGTCGACCGCACCAAACAGCGAAAGCATCGATGCGACCTGGTACCTACACAGACAGCATGCCCACGTAGGCACACACACAAGGTGCATGAGTGCATTCGTGTGTCGCTTCGTTTGTGTGTGACTGCAGGTGTTTGCTGACCTCCCATGGGGCGGGGCGGCATTCGTCAGGGGCAGCGGACCTTCGACATCACCAAGATGGGCTACGAGGGTGAGAGGAAGGAAGATGGACACACACCACACACACGGATGCACTCGTCTCTCTCTCTCTCTCTGTGTGTGTGTGTGTGTGTGTGGCTCAGTCGGTGTTTGACGTGTTGGCCGATTGCGAGGCCATCACCGACTCGTTCGCGTTCAAGCTCCTACGCAACACCCCCCTCCAAGCGGCGGTGAGTCTTAACACGTCACATCCATCCATCCATCAGACAGACGGACATGTGTGTCGTCTGCTTTTGCGTTGTGTTGTCGTCATCGACGTGTGTGTGCAGGCCGAGTTGGGCGCCTGGAAGGCGACAAGGGAGCTGTATGAGAACGGCCACGAACTGATTACGTACACGCCCCCGGTGATAGAGGCCATGGTCACCCGCCTGCCTGCCGCCAGGAGGGGCAGGACTAACTACAAGCTGAAATACATCACCGCCTACATCGGCAACATCGCTGAGCGGTACGTGTGTGCGCAACGCGACCCACGGCACACACACCACACACGTGTCTCCATCCGTGTGTGTGTGTTGTCGTGTCTGCAGTATGGCAAAGAAGCTGCCGCCCTCCCGGACGACCACCTGGTGTCCCCCCGCCCACACCACTGTGGATGACCGTGTCATGCACATCGTCAACAGCCGCGCCACCACCAGAACTGAGCGACTGCAGCTGAGATTCAACAGGTAGTCAATCGAGCGGGTGTGTGTGAGGTGGTGGCTGACGCCCTGCCTGCTAGCCTGCCTGCCCTTGTTCTTTCCCTGCTGCATTCATTCATCGATTCATTGGCTGTGTGAGTGCACCCGCTGATGGCGGATGTGTTTTGACGTGGTCCATGGCTGGCTCTCTGGCTGGCTCTCCGGCTGGCTCGATGGATGGATGGATGGATGTATGGGT